GGGGGCCTTCTCTGGAAACCCTGATGTTTGACTGGCTGGGAAACCTGTTGCAGTTTCCCTCTCATTTGTTGAATAGTCTTATTAAATTGTCTCTCTAGAGCCGCATGTCTGCGTTTCTCTGCCTTCAATTCAGCCTGAGTTGCCTTCTTAGGGGCTAGAGCCTTAGCTCTGATTTTTGCAGCTATTTCCCTCTGAGCAGTACATTGTCTGCATCTTTTCCTTTTAGTGGGTTGGAGGGCCTGTTCCACTGGGGGGGAAGCTCTGCATGAGCACTGTCCTGATCCATTTTAAAATAAGCAAGACTCAAGCGTTGAGAGAATGGCTCTCAAAAGTGCTTAAGGATGGCAGAGGGTGGAATTGGGTCTTTGGAGCCCTGAAAATGGCTGCCAGGCTACTTAAAATGGCCGCTCACCTTGTGTCTGAAGAGACTGCACTCAAAGATGGCCGCTGCTCGTCGATGGCTCTCAGGGGCTGGCTTTTTATATACAAGTACAGACTCAGCTTAATGATGTCATAAGAAGGAGTCTACCCATCCTGGGCTCTCGCTGCAGCATGGAGGAGAATGTTTGGGCTCATTTGTGGCCATTAAGTTGAGGACTACCTGTACTCATCTGCTACTTAGTCAAGGAAAACCATAAATAAGATGGCTAATTTATATTAATGTTAATATACTGGTATTAAACAATACCACAGAATTTCTACAAAGGAGCCCGATATCAATCTACAATTCACCTCCAACTCTAGCAAAGCCGAAACCAAATCATTCTTTTTAACATAGAGTAATAATGTCAACCATGCTATTAAAAACAAATAAAAGGGAGACTTTCATCTTAAATACTAAAACTGAATTACCAACTAGTAAGAAATTAATGAGAAATGGAAGAAGGGAATATAGAAGTGTAATAAATCTGCTGATTGTTTGGTCAGGCCTAATGCCAGCAGCGTCTGCCTCACTAGCAATAAATCCTGCACAATCAGCTTCCTTTGCTTTTCTCAGATCTTTAAAGGAAAAAAGATAAAACATATTTTTCCTGACTGCATGCCCTTTTTCACTTTTCCCCAGAAGTAGAAATTAGCCAAGGGTAGGATAATAATGAAACTATGTTTGGCATCAATAATACAAGCATAACAAAAGCATGTAATATGCAAATAAGAAATGGAAAATGTGGGTTTTTCTTCTTACACCTCATGATTTTAAGATCATGGTCATTCTGGCTGAAATACTGGGCTCTTAATCTGAATATATCATCAAGGGATACAGGTACATAAAGAGAATGATTTCAAGAACAAAGGACATCATACAAATCCTTCCCACAAAATGAAAAATGCTGCAAACATCAGAACTTAATATTTTTCATTAGGCACATGGAATTTAAAATGGGAAAGATATCAAAATCCATTGATTATTATTCTGCAGGTCTACAAAATGATATTCACACATATTTGGGTAGCACAGAGACCCAAATACTTTGTACAAGTGTGCTTAGTAATAAAGAATATAAGAGAAATTGAATGGAGACAAATTGAGGGATATAATCATTTCAGAGTATAAAGTACTAAGACTGAGAGGATTAATGTCAGATTTCAAAAGAAGCGGAATGATGCAAACCAATTTTCAAAAATTTCTCTCAATTGCTCACATTATAGTCCAATGTGAGGAATTCAATATACATTTATTTGGTTTCAGAATTAAGAATATGAAGCATAAAATTGATTGAACTATTTTCTAACAGGAAGGTCAGGGGAGCTGGAAAAGAAAATCAAGATAAGAAACGAAATATCTGGGTTATCTGGATAACCTGCAATTTCATGAAATTCTAAGGCAGCACAAGTTTTCCACTGTAAAAAAGTAAACTTTTTTAGTATAACCTGTGAACAATAGGACCTATTGTTTTTAATGTGCACAGAAATTTCCAAAAATTTTGCCTAAGATTCAAAATTACATTCAAACTGAATTACCTTTTGTTAAACCTAATTATTCACTTGCATGTGTTAAAATAAAAATGGAAGACTAGCGGGGCAATTTCATATCATATGTCAAAATGCCTCCTTTCTTACTTTATAGTTCCAGAAAAATGAAGTTGATAACTCTATTAAAATATTATCTAAGATAGTGCAAAAACATGAAAAAATGTTATTAGTCACATCTTGAGTGTTTAAGATACATATTTAATCTTCTTTAAGAGCTTAACCATTGATTTGCTAATATGGGATAACCCTTTTTTATTCAAAAGTTATTGCAAATAATTGATATCCACCCTGACAATATAATGTATAATTGGATATTTAAAAAGTTGTAGATTTAGAATTATTCAGAACACAATTTAACACTGACTATAATCTAGGAGTTTTAGATGCTACTAATGTATCTGGATCAAATTGTAAATCAAAATACGTTTTAATTGAAAATTCTTTCTGCAGTTTTAGAGAATCCAGATTCCTTTTGTCATGGCTTAAACAATGTAAAAACTTCATTGACAGTGACTTGTTCTAAAACATTGATATTCTTAACAGTTATTCATGTTTACAGCATTTATACCACAGTCTTACTTTTTATAAGGTTCAAACCTCATGTCACTAGTAAGACTTACTGTAAATCAAAGGCTAGTTCAAAGAGGACAGAGCATTAAATCAGCTTGGGCCAATTGAAGGGGTGACAATTTATGAATATGTCCTTTTGCTTTCTTTGTATTTTCTTGTACATTTTTATCTGTTTTATAATTTTGATATGGTCATGTGCCTAAATCAGTAACATTTCCATTCTACTCACTTATAACATGCATATATTTCAATTTTTAACCATCTATTTATATCTTTATTAGAAAACATTTCTAAAATGGTTATTCTATAAAGAAGGTTTTAGATGGAATATGAATTCCAAAGTATTTAAAATTATTCAAATACCAAAGAAGCTACCAAATAGGTATCTGTAGGACTCCATGCTATAGCTATATTTGGAATACTGGAAAATATGCAGAGCTGGTAAAGATGAAAAAGACCCCTCAGTTTAGATAATCAAAGGGCAGAAATTATACCATCCAGAACATGTTAACCTCTGAACTGAAAATCAAGCAAGCCAGTCAAGCAGTATTGATATTTATAAATGTATTTGGGAACATAAAATTAAGAATGGAATTAGGTGGACTCCAATTTTCTTATTCTCTAGATTAACTCTAAAATGGTTGCTGCCACCAAAAATGCATCTAGTTATTATTTTGAACTGCTTTTGTGACTTCTTTGATCCAATTCATTGCTTTACATGGAGAAGCATGGCAATACCCGAGCAGTATGATATTCCTTACACCATTTAACAAAAAAATCTAGCACATCAATCCCTTTCATAGTTCCCCTCTGCAGCTCTTTTTTGCACTGACGGTCAAGGAATTTGAACCTAAACAATTAAGAAAAAGAAATAGGGAATAGCTGTCTGACTCTGTCATTGTCCTCTAAATTATCAGAACTCCATCAGCAAGTAACACGTGGGAAGCAAACATTTTTAAATAAAAGGATATTCCAGTAATAGATAGCATTCCTCTAATGAGATATAGGACTATGATGACACCATATATTAAACTGCAATACTTTGTTAAGAAGAAATGATTTAACTATTTTCCAAGCTTGTTAAGACTAAATGACTCATTGTTGACTAATTCCATTTGAGAATTTCTAAAAAGGGTCCAATTTAGAATCTGAGTGCATAATTTAAAACGAAGGTCATTTTATAATACTTCAACCTTCAGAGACAGGAAAAATGCAGATTGTCAGATTTACTTTTATATTGTTAATAGTCTTTTTGGAGGACATGTCAAACAAAATCCCCATATGCTATTTATTGCTCGAAACTCTTGAAGGATTAACATTTGAAATATGAAGTCTTTCATAATAAAGGTTTTAACTTGAGGAATTAATAATTCCCCCCTTACAGAGACTTTCCCCCTCTCCCAAAAAGGATGCTTTACATTACATAAGAAGGATTGAATTAAAAAGAGGATTTAAAAGCATCTACCATACGATAGGTTTAAATCCTTGTAATGAGACACATATAAAAAGAGGCTGCTAAGGCCTTTCTCCTTTTTTTTTTATTGCAATCCGAGGCTGTAACTGCCAAGGAGAATTTGGCAGATCTATGTGTCATTTCCCTATAGAGAACTTGAAGACAATCCCTTTGTCTGACTCGTACTTTCAAATCTGTTCTGTGAACAGTAACAAGGAAAAGTGTTAAATGTGAAATGTAGATATTCTATTGAAGAAATAAACTGCTTTATAAAAAGCAACTCCAAAGGATTGGTTTCCCTTTTATGGCAGGCAGAGGTTTATTTACTCAGATAATTAGAAGGAATGTTTCTTTCTTAATAATGATATAAAATATAAACAAATCACCAAAACATAGTTTAAAAACGGGCAGGTAAATTGCAGCCCCAGGAGCACAGGAAACTCACTTACATCCTAAGAGAGTGCAATTTGGTGGCAAAATGGCCCTTTTGGGCAGCCCAGAAGCAGAGGTAACATTTCCTGGAAATCCACCAAAAAAAACAAAACACCAACCCACAACCCACAATCAGACCGCTATAATCCAATTATTTTGATACTGAAAGACAGATGCCTAATTTCAGTTGTTCTGGTGGGGATAAAGGTAGGTATGGAATTTTTTTTTGGCTCCCATGACCTCCCACCTTTACTTTTCCCCTTTACACCATCCAAAAGTATGTTTGTTTAAGAGGCACCCCAAATTCTCCTCATCTTTCTGGTAACATTATCATGGCCTCCTGCAGCTATCCAGATCGTTAGGAGATAGGTATGCAGCCCGGCAACTTTGGAAAATTGGAAAATTCTTATCTCTACCCAAGTCTCAATTTGGAAAAGATTTGGAAAATATCTAGGATATTCCATTTTTACATAGGTCATAGAAAACCAAACCAGTGTATCTACTGCATCTCTTTAAATAACTGCATCTTTTCCCGAGAATAGCACAATGGCAATGAAAAGCCATGAAATTTTACCTCCATAGTATGTGTTTTTCCTGAAGACGTTTGACCATATGCAAAAATAGTTCCATTGTAGCCTTCAAGAACATCTGTTTAAAAAAACACACAATAAAATATCTTATTGTTATGAAGTACTACAAATCACTAAAGAAAAACAGTCATTATATGTATTAGTTATTATTTAATAAGAGGAGAGGAAAGAATTAAGAAAACAGTTACAGACATCTAATGGAAAGTGTATCCTGTTGTCAAGGAAGATAAACACAAATAAATATTTCTCTGCATCCAGATCTAATATAGTCAGTAACATCCTTTATGCTTTTCTAAATAACGATCCTTTCAATAATGTCCAGATTTTACCTTTGCTTACAGAACTTTTCTGTTTTTCTCTTCCTGTACATATTTTAACTTCTTTGTTTATTGGAAACAAGCAGGAATGTAAGCCCAAGAGATGGACCTACTGTAAATTGTTCCCAAGCTTAAACACAGCAAGTTGAGAATTTCAGTGTGTATATCTAAAAGCACAGAGGAAGCAACATCTAATCTAAATAAAGAAGGTTAAGCAATGGCCCCAGTTAGAACTTGGGCGAGAAACTATCAGGGCTGCAAGTTAAGATTGGAAAAGTGAAAAAAGTTCCCTATGAAAGAAAGCAATGACACACTACTTCATGGTGGTCTTCATAGTTCAATAACATTATAGATCAGAAGTCTCCAAACTTGGCAACTTTAGCTATGCTGGCTGGAGAATTCCGGGAGTTGAAGTCCACAAGTCTTAAAGATGCCAAGTTTGGGGACCCCTGTAACAGATAGAGGATTAAAAAAACAGTTACATAATTCAGATAAAATATCATAATCTGAATGTCCTGTAACATTTTGTTGTAAGTTATCATCTACAATTAAGAATAACACAAATGTCACTATTTTGGCCGCACACTATTTTGTGCAAGTCAATTTAATTTTTAAAAACATGCAGGCTTATGGGAAGGGATTTTATCAGCCAAGTAACTGGAGAGGAAAGCAATTTCACACTGTTCTCTGCAATGCACAGGGAACAAGAACTGACATAACTTTCTAAACAAATTAAAATAGCACTGAAGGGCAACTACATTCTAGATATTTGTGCTTTAAATAAGCCTGCCCATTTTAAATACTGATCTAAAATTCATAAGTTTATGCTGAGTTTTAACTTTCTGCTGCACATGTTTGATTATAAATAATAGAATAACATCCCAAATTATTCTTATATATTTTTGAATGGGCAATAAGTCTAATAGTAAGATAAACTGTGGTGAATTTAAATTTCTGAGAAATGCAATCCAGTATCATGTTCATTAGATCCAAACACCTTAGATTTTAAAATCAAAATATAAATAAACAAAAATGTGCTGTAGGCATATTAAACAGTTTTGCTAACCTGCTAGATAGTTTGATTTCACAAGCTGTTGATGTATTTACTGAAAAGAAATATGTTCACTATTCCAATTTCCACATAAATTGACAAACAGGCATGTTTTAGTAAACCAGTGATAGTTTGGAGATAGATATAGCACTAAATAATAATGATATAAAGCTCTTAAAGGCAGGATTTTTTTTTCTATTCATGGAGCTGTCCAAAGAAATGGTGCTGACTCTCCCAAGCTAAAAAGTATTGAGGAGACATATTTTTAGGATTATTTCAAAATTTTCACCAGGGTTTCTTCACTCATTCATAGGGATAATACGCACACATGCATATCCTTACTCTGTGTAAGTGTAATTGTTCTAAGCATTATTACATGATGAGACAACAAAAAGGATAATGTGCAAGAGGGAACAGGATGAAACAGAATCTATAGTATTACCTGGGCTGAGCTGTGCAAACTCTGGATTAGCAAGAATATTTTCTATTCATCCTAGGACCACGGATTTTCTCACAAACAGAATAGCAACAGTTTGTGCAAAGATGTTGAACTAACAACTTTTCACATTCTAGAGTATGATGTTGAAAACTCTTTACAACTGAAATGTTGAATGTAACAAAGAAATAAAATTACCAAATATTTGAAAATTAATCCCATTCATTTAAATAAAATAGCATTTTAATTTAATTAATTAGTCTGTGTTCTGGTTTCATCTATTGTTCCTAATCCTATCCCCCTAATGGATTACAGCTCTTCCATTCTTTTCAGCCATATACAGCCCTTAAACCCCAAAAGATTAGGTATTCAGAATAAGAGAAATATAGATAGTAATGTTGAAAGAAACTGGTCACCTTCCAAAAGTTTTCTAATCAATTGCTCTCTTTTTTTTCAATAGCCATTACTATCTCCTAGTCAGGACCAGGCCAACTTTTACAAACCAGAGTATGTTGTTTCATCTATCTGTAGAGCAGTGCAGGTTTAGTTTAAGCAATTTGGAAACTCAATGAAGCAACAGATTTAAATCTCCCACTCCCCAAAAAACCACAGCCCTGGATTAACAGGGCTCAGAGTTACCTAAAATTGTGAGATGGGCAGCAAATAAATTTAATAATGAAAAATTGCAGCTACATAATTTTGTTAAATATTTAAAGCTATGAATTCAAAATTCATACCTTTTAACCTGAGTGAAATATTAAAGATGTGTTTGGAAAAATGGATAGACATTGTGGATAGAAACATGAGTGGTGCGGTGGCCTAGAGGTGGAGCTCTTGCCTCACAATCAGGAGGCTGTGAGTTCGATCCTAGGTAGAGGCAGATATTTCTCTCTCTGGGCACAATGAGAATATATCTGCTGAAAAAAAACTCTGCATTGGTGACAGGAAGGGCATCCAGCCAGTAAACACTCAGTTCCATTCAGTTGCCCAGACTCCACCCCACAAGGGATTATGGGGTCATTAAAAAAGGATGATGATCGTGGATTGAAAAATCACCAAGTACTAAAAACCTGCTAAGAAATCATCCTCTAAATATGTTATTATATTATTTTATTGTACTCCTAAATATAATCTTGTTGATTCCATCTACTCACTGATTAATATAGAGTTGCAACAGCCTCCTTTGAAGCAATTAATTATAATTTATTTATTTATTTGTTTTTAAGTTTTTTACAAAATTATATTCTAACATGGGGAGATATAGCTAGTGAGCAAACCTTTTTTTATCAAAGTAAGTCTAGACATTTTTGATGTTCAGTCAGCAGAATTGGCTGCACTCCCAACATTTCAGAAAAATATGTTATACTACTGATACGATGAAATCTGTGTACCAGATGAAATAACCATGGTATTAAAAAATGGTGAACCATGGTGAACTATTTCCTATACTTTCAAAGATATTTCAGGTTTCTTATGAAAATGCCACCTTCATACTACAAAACTTACATTATCATAATGTTGAAGCCTGGTAATGATCTTATGAGTTTATCTGCTATCGATCGGTATCTCTTTTAATTATTGATGCTAAGATTTTAACAGCTACATTGAGGAAAAGTTTACATAAGATATATTGTTTTTAAAGTACATAGAATATTGACATATTGGATTTCAATCTATTAAGAACTCAAAATGGGATTGTTGGAAAAAAGATGATTACATCTTCCTGGAAGAACACCTGTATTCATAAGTTATTTTATATTACACCCATTTAAAGAACAGGAAAAAATAGTTCAAGCTATGAAAATTATGTTAACTTTCTTCAATTGAAAATTATAGTGTAAATCAAATTGTTATTGTAGCTACATGAAGAAACAGATGGGATCTATTTCAGAGGGACAAAATTAGGAAACATAGCTGTACATTGTAGAGGAGCTGAGCTAAAATAATTTAAAATTAAATTAAAATGACTTTGAATAATCTGAATGTTGCTGAGATGTATTTACCATCTCTTGTCCTTAAGAAATTGAGAATAGCACTGGAGCTTCTCTGCATAATATTCTATTAAATAAGCTTAACAAAATTCATCAATTACTGGCTTCTGAATTTGCTTTGTATCAAAGAGGAGGGGAGACTGGCCAATATGATTCTGTACTAATTTATTATTTCAATATTGCTTAATAATGTTGAAGAAAATTAAATAATTTTAATAACCTGATATTTATCTATTGATGGGTTTTTACATGGCTATATATAGTAATTAATATCTGTCAGGTATAAATAACCAGACCCACATGTGAAGTGTTCAATTAGATGTTTTATTATTCAACCCTATAAACAGGAATCTTCTGATGGTTTGCATGTGGGAGAGACTAGATAAGGTTCAATGATGTAGGAATTCCCAACTAATTCCCTGTTTGACTCCTCTCCCTAACTCAGTGAGTCTTCCTCCTACATATCTATGACAAAATAAAATAAATGTTGACTTTTAAGTCTAATTTCTCTCACAATACAACAGAGTTAGCTATGCAAATAAATTATTTGGGCTGTTAATATTTGAGACACTGATATTGAGAAGAATCTGGTAGACAATTACTCCTGTAAATTTGTTTAAAGGTCTTTTTTTAAAAAAAAAAAATCAAGATTGCAGCAAGTTCAATTTCCAGATTTACTTCAGATCCATGTTTATATGTGAAAGTGGGAATTGAACATATTTACATGATCTGTAAAGAGCTATAACAAAAAGAGAAAATGCCATTAGCCTATGTATATTGGCGACTTCTTATTTCTATGAATTCCAAACATAATGTTAATTCTTTTCCATAACTAGGATTCAGCAGATAGGACAGCCATTTTCCTGCATTGAAAATGGACTATTCTAGCTTCCGGTTTTGCGCGGCTTCGGTGGCAGCAGGAATTCGCGACTGTCCGCGATTCCTGCTGCGCTTGCCGCCAAGGTGCCCCCGATCCAAACGGGTCAGGGGGATATGGCTGCCCTGTAGAGGCAGCCGAAGAGAGAGGGGAGCCGGACAGGGGGTTGGGGGTGTCGCAGACCCCCTCCTCGTCCAGAAAAAAACCCTTTTTCCCGAGGTGGTGGAGCGGCGGTCAGTAATGGCCACCATGAAGAAGCCGGCAGCCGGGTAAGATTGTGCTGGAGGAAGCAGGAAAAGTGAAAGTGCTGTCTGAGCCGGGTCAATCAACAACTTTTAAACATCCTGGAAACTGAATCGTTTGAATTGCTAGAAGATACATTGTATCCCTAAGAAGATCGGAAAGCGGCGGAGAAAGCTGTCAAGGGGAAAAAAACCTTTTTTTCTCTTCACTCTCCCACCCCATAGAAACAGCAGATGAAGATTTGGAAAATTTATCTGGGCACTCAAGGTAAATTATTTTGAAAGTTAAAGCCAAGGGATAAAGGATTCCTGGACATTGGATTTAATAACTTAAGAAATCAGAAAACCCTTATTGGAGGTATGGATTTCTGAATACTTAAAAGAAAATTGTTGTTGTAAGTGGGAAGGGAGAGGAAAAAAAATTGGAGCAGAAGTTGAAAAAGGAGGAGATTGCCTAGAACCTTAAAGAAAGATATATTGTAATTGGATCTCTTTGATTAAACAGTAACCCCAGAAAGAGAAATAGAAGAAAGAACTTTGGTAACTTTGGAATTCTTTGCAATTATTTTTGATTAAAAATACTTGGGTGGTTGTTTTGGAAAAAGTTTTTTCTCTTCACGATGGCATCGCTTGTGGATGAACTAAAAATTGAATATCAAAAATATAAAAAAGAAAAAAAAAGAAAATGGACTATTCTCTAAACCAGGGGTCTCCAACCTTGGCAACTTTAACCCTGGAGGACTTCAACTCCCAGAATTCCCCAGCCAGAATTCCCCAGCAAAACTGGCTGGGGAATTCTGGAAGTTGAAGTCCTCCAGACTTAAAGTTGCCAAGTTTGGAGACCCCTGCTTTAAACAGCCTGAGAAAGAGAAGAAAATAGAAGGTGAGGACATTTCTACGAGATGAATCTTTGAAGTCTCACTAGCAAAGACGGAAGATAGAGGTGTTAAGCTTCCACACAGTTCTAAGGTTTTTAGTGTTCTGTCACCCAGATCTTTCCTCCTACAAATGTACTTTTCTGAATGAAGACAAATATTCCAAACTGCATGTCAATAAGATTGTACCACAAGTATCCTTTGACTTACATTCGTTTATTTAGTGAATGTTCAAGATTGCAACGGCACTGAAAAAAGTGACTTATGACCATTTTTCACACTTACGACCATTGCATCTCTGTGGTCTTGCAATCAGAATTTGGATGCTTGGCAACTGGCTCATATTTACGATGATTGCGATTAAATGATTCACTTAACAACTGTGGCAAGAATGGTCATAAAATGGGGCAAAACCATAACAACTTTCTCACTTAGCAAGAGAAATTTTTGCCTCAATCGTGCTCGTAAATCGAGGACTGCCTGTACTGGTATAGCTTTAAATAAACAGTACCATTACTGAACAAAATGACACCCTCTATAATGAGTATAACTTTTAAGTGTTACCAGGTTCACACCAATTACAAGAATGGACCCAAGTCTAGATTCCCTGAGAATATGAGAAAATTTTAAATTATTCATGAGGAGAAAAGGAAAAGCTATTAACCTAATTGTCTCATGTTTTCAAGCAGTTCTGAAAAATTGCAGATGTAAATCTTCTGTGTGAATAAACCAAATCTTGCAATGATACTAAATGCTCGCAGCATTTAATAATGATTAATAATGATTAATGTCTCATCTTACCAAAACTTTAAAAAGTCGCTCTTTGACAGATATCAGAATCAAAGTCATTACACAAATAATGCTTATTTAAAATCATGTAGTGAGAGAAATTATCCTGTAAAGAACCGTACTTTGTACCTTGAGGGAGAATGAATATTTTCTGCTCCGTGAACTGCCTTGATAGAGCTCACTAATGTGGTGCTAATTACTTGATGAAATGACAATTAGTATCAAATGGGTATTTTTAATCATTCAATTTAATAAACCATTCACATCAATAGCATGGATGGCTATCTAATAAAGGGTGGTCTAAATTATAGGCTATACATTCATAATTCCTTGTTTCCTAACTTTATATTACCCTCACTGAATTGAATTCCAATTCACAAAGGGAGAATAAGCTGCTGTATGTAAACAGCGAGCAACCCCAAACTCACTCACACTGATGATGTTATGTAGGTGGGTAATGAAAAGTCTACAAACAAACAACCAAATTTAAAGAGCACCAAGGATTCCATAGTTCAGCTCTGAGCTACACATATCCTCTTCTTTTGGAATTATGAAAAATGTTTCACATCTGCAGTATAAGTAGCTAAGGGATAAACTTTAATCATGTCAACCGCATAATGGAGAAGTTACAGTGAATCACTTTAAATGAAGAGCTCTAACTAATTGCCTCAATATTGGTTTATCTACAAGTTCATGCACAATATACTGCTTCAGTTACTTTCTGTTCACTATCATACAACATATTCTTATTATACTATATACATTAAGAAATATTACAAAAAAGGTAATATTTGTAATTAACAGAAGGCTCGTGGATTCCCTGTAACATTAAGATCATAATAATACATTTAAGATATTTAGCTATGAGGCTCCATGGTCATAAGCACTATAATTTCACAGGAGGATCAGCACCAGAGAATCCTGGTTTATGTAAATTAATCAGCCTCCTCCAGAACATGGCCCTTACTTGAGATTTTATCCCAGAGTAGATAATAGCAAAGAAAACAAATGATAGTTTGTTGACTTAGATTTTTTTAAAGAAAACATATCAGTGCAACAGATGAAATCCTGACGAAAACCAGCATGCTCATCTGTTTATTCTGTGCAAATAGTTACATTGCCAGCTCCCGGATTTTCCCTGGACATGCTCAGGGACTGGACATGACATCAAAGAGTGTCATTCTAATTATATGCATGACTTTTAATGTCTTCTACCAAATAGAAAGAGGAGGTTCATCAACGCTTGTTAACATCCATGAACTTCCAGATGAATCTATATTTTATTTATACACTCACACATCAGGAGAATTAACCAGGGGTGGGATTCTACCGGTTCTGTCCACCTCTGTAGAACCGGTAGTTCTGAAGAGCAGCAGACAGAAAGCATACATAGAACTAGTTCTATGTCTGCTGCTGTTCCCACCCACCCACCCACCTGCCCAGGCTGTTTCCTCACCTTTATTTACTGCTTTTTCAACCGCAGCTGCTTTGCGTGACACAACTACGGTTGAAAAAGCAGGAAAAAAGGGCTTTTCCAAACGCTGCACACTTGCATGCAGTGCCGCTCAGCTGTCCGGGCAGCTCAGCAGGTCATAAATTGCACTCGTGTGACTCACACACGCACGCACAAAGCGCGCATGACACAGAGCAACAGAACCAGTAGTTATACTGGTCGGATCCCATCCCTGGAATTAACCCACCTACCCACCCCTAAAAACCAGCAGGCCATTTACACAATCTGCCCATCCCTTTTACATGAAATGTCTACACATTCCCTACTTCAGCTTAGCAACAACTACTCTAGCACAAAAGCAGTTGTTTAAAAAAAAAAACCTCTTACCTTTAACAATTTGTTTGGCACAGGCATTATAAACTTGTTCCTGGGATGTATTGGGAGGCAATACTCTATCAAAAACATAGGGTTTTCCTTGCTGAAATGAAGAAAAAAAAAGACATTTTCAGAAAAAAAAGCCAAAAATATAATTAAAAACACAGCATACATTCATATGAAACAAACACATACTCACGTGTGGATTACAAATTACTAAAAAATATGCTAAATGTGGTTAACAGTACACATTATTTTTATGAAACACCTTATATTTAGCAGCTGTTCTAGAGACTTATCAGACTCAAATCCGTATACAAGAAACAGCAGACAGCAGAAAGCAGAAAGCTTGATACTATTTTTCATATCACCTTGTTCCTCCTTTTAAAACCTAAATTTGAAGAATTTGAATGATTTGATTAAAGTATTAAAAATCTCTTTTGTAAAGTTCTAAACAGTAGTGGGATTCAGCCAGATCGCACCACTTCAGTTGAACTGGTTAATTTTTTGCCTAGTTCGGTTAACCAGTTCATCCCACCACTGCTGGCCACTCCTCACCCCCTCCTGGGGTTGTCATTCAAGGTGAGGAGGCTGCAGGGGTATGACTGGGAGCCACGCTAATCAGCTGGGAGTCCTCACTTCCACCCAGAGCAATGATAATCCTCACTTTCATCCCATTCCAGAGCCATCACAATGCAACATCCTCTCTTCCATTCCATCCCAGAGCAACCCCCATTCCCTCACTAACCTGCTTTCCAGCTTAGTTCTCCTGTGTGCGGAGCAACAAAAGAAGACCATGTGACTACCATTTAAAAAAAAGTTTGGTCAGGTCTTCCAACTTCATGAGATCTTTTTTTCCCTGAGAAGTTGGAAGGTCTGACTGAACTTTTTTTAAACTGGTAGTCACATGGTCTTCTTTTGTTATTAGTGGGAATAAGCTAAAGTCCTTATTAGCCACTACTTTTAAAGTAAATGTCCTTGTTAATGAAGCTAGTCATGACTTCATGGATGAACTCTGCTGTAATTCTTAAGCTATAGTTTATGGCTTTTAGTTATATGTAAACCAAGCTACTAACAAACTTGGAATTTGCTTGATACAGGAACACAGTTCTTAGCCTAAACTCTTTCACCAGGCTGCTTTTGAGAATACTAAAATATGGAGAAACATCTACTGTGTTCCTTATGAGCAGCAGGAGAAAGATGAAATATAATATGCTAATTAAGAAACTAACTAAAACTCTAAACCAGATTAAGGATTGCTTCCTGAATTAAATAGGTCAGTTGCTCCGAGGAAAGACATCATGTTAACCTTTCATGCTATTCAAAATGATTGATACAGTAAAGATAAAACATAACTCCTCAAGCAGTTTTCACCAGGTTAATGGCATCAATAAGCCACACTCAAATCTCCTTCTGGGTTTTCACATGTTACAATGTCATTAAAACTGTGTCACCTCTTAGACACAACTCTTTCCCTAGAGGCTGTGATGAGCTGAAAAAAATCCATTTAATGGATGCTCACTCACACACTTCCTTGCAGATGCAAATTATAAGAATTTCATAATCATAAATTGTTATCTACCGCTCCCTATTTCTTTTCCTCAAGGCTAAGATAAAGGATAAAAACCAAACACATTAAACAAAGAACCTTATTGTAACCAGCTTTAGTTATAACATCTACCTTTTACTGTTATTCATCATTAGTGTATAGAATAACATCTCAAGAAACAAGTTTTTGACAAAGATGTATGAAAATGTATCTGTCAGATTTTATCTGTTACAATAAAGAAACATTTAAAAGGCTTGTCTTAAAAAAAATATTACTGAAATAAAAATTTCTTGTTCCACCTCCTGTACAGCAGCCCTTACTGTGTTGTTTCTATTATTAATTCTCTACCAGCAGTGAAGGATAAGAACTTTTGTTATCTACTGTATATGTCAAAACATCCTTGCCAGGTATCAAATGTAGAAATTCTAAATCCTGTGAAAAAGCCAACTACAATAAATGTATCTAATTTCTTTATCTTTTAATTTTCAGTGGCAGGGTAGGAAATCTTTTTTTTTTAAATAGCATTCAGTAGGGGGAACAAATTCTTTAATTTATAGGATGTCCAACTGCAAAATGATTCTACAGAAAAGACTTTTCACCAACATCACAAGCATTTAAACCAGCGGTCTTCAAATGTGACAGCTTTAAGACTTGTGGACTTCAACTCCCAGAATTCCTCCTCCAGTCATGTTAGCTGGGGAATTCTGGGAGTTGAAGTCCACAAGTCTTAAACCTGCCAAGTTTGAAGACCCTTGGTATATATGGAATTTGGGGTAGTGTACAGAAAAAAAAACATTTCAGGTAAGCCTGAATTACTGAATCACAACACACCTTAAGCTGCTTAAAACACAATCTATACCTATCTAAAATAATATTTTGTTGTTGCTGATTATTTAGATGTATTTCTAGTGTTGACACTGTTCTGCCGGAATGTGTCAGGGGAAGCACAACCAAAACTATGTTGTGTGTAGCATCACCACATCCATGTTCCTATTGATGATTTCAGGCATGTTATTAGGTAAGCTATGCAAAAATATTAGAATTCTCTGTATCAAGCAATCAAGTAGCAGAATTAAAGCAAGGGATTTAAAATTTCCTAAAGTATATTGGAATCTACCGATTGACCAATCCTGACCATAGTTACTTTAGGTCAAAATAACTATGACATAGGATGATAGCTTAGACAAAATGCACCATGTGCATTAAATATAGATACCACCGTTTCTTCATTTAATAGGGAAAGTTGTGTAGTTTTCAAAACATTTATCAGAGGCTGCTGGGAACAAGACAGCTTCTCAGCAGCCTCTGACAGGGTATTATTTCTGTTTTTTTCTCTCACAATGATAAGAAATAATTATTTCATTTCACAGTTCTGTGGAAGTTTCTCTTGCTGTTTTCTATCATACCCAAGCCTAAGTACAAATCTCCACTGTGAGAGGAGGAATTTTCTCAAATGTTCAGGTTTGGACTCATTACAAAGCTGCAAATCTTAGATTCCTTGCATTTCAGAACAAAAGAAAACTCCCAACACCTCCCTGAAATCCTCTGCCTATTCTAGAAGACTGGGTGAAAGAAACAAGATCTGGAATTGAAATAAATAGTGAAGACAAATGAAAAGTGCATTAAAAAGCCAAAATTTGTAGATGCTTCTTTTTCCTGGAGACAATGGTCAGATTAATACTGTGATGTATGGATGGAATCAGTGCATTTTTTAACCTAAATAGCAGAATTTAGTAAATAGTAGAAGATACAAACGCACATATGCACCCAGTTACCCTTGCTCTGGACTTGTCTGTCCCAAAACATGTATATGAATTATTTTTTATTTATGTATTTTATATTTATTTATTTCAGGAAATTTATATTGTCGTCTATTCGCACATGGTTACTCAAGGCAGCTTACAGGAATATAAAAACCTCATGTATAAAACAGTACAGCTAATAAAAGAGAATAAATTAATAAAATAAAATAATAAAATAACCCCCCACCCCCCCCCCACCCCGATCCTGGTGACAACACATCACAGGGAGCCATTTAATGGGCTCCATCCTGCTCTGCCTTCTCCAGGCCTGCTGGCAGAATAGTTGGGGGGTGCTTTTCAATACACCTAGCTTTCATGTATTGAACTCTTGTTTATGATTTTAGATCAAAAACATTTTACATTTTGATCTTGAACCAAATAAACTCAATCCTTTTAGTGAGTAGGACCCAGAATAGCAGAACTGCAGCCTTCAGCATTTTGCAACCAGCATAAATTAGGGGAGAAAGGCATTGCCAGGACAGAGAGCTCTTTCTATACCAATAACAGGAAGATCAGAATTGACTTCACATCCTCTATTCTTCAATAATCAATCACAGAAAGCTTAAGTTTAGGAGCATGACTGATTCTTTCATGAATAATGTAGATATCTTCTTTCTATAATCTATGGTTATGCAATTTCATTTATGTACGGCCTTTTCCCTCCCCTCACTGTAGCAAGCCCCGTCCATTACATGTTTTTTTTTCCTCACAAGAATTATTTTTCTTCTGCTTCCCTCCTATTGTGCTTGGACGTGATGTTCTTTTTTTTTTTCAGGACCCCATCGACTATGGTTTCTAATCATTGATTTCTTTTGCTATTTCTTTCCGTTTTATTCTAAGCCCAACCTCTGGGATTCATTCTTCTTTCCTGCTATGTTATTTTCAGCCTTCAGTCAGTTCTCTCATGGGGGGTGGGGGAGGGAATCAATTTTGTAAATAGGGAGGAAGCAGCAGCAACCCAGCTGAATGTCATAAAGCACTGTGGACAACAGCTAAATACTGAAGCAGGTCACTGAAGCAAAAAAAAAACAACAACCCCAAAACAATTGGCTACTTGCTGTGAAAGAAAAAGCAATCATCATCCATTTATTAACCAGAACTAGAAAACCTCCAAATTCAAAATAAATTTGGAACAAATCAAAGCTTTAATCTGCTGTATATTCATATCACATCACATCACTTTATGTTATGAAAATGCACTGCGTGAAGACCAGCAATATTCATTTTAAAAATGATTTAAAAACTCCTCTCCATTTCCCATGAGGTGTTTTCTATTACCAATTTTGACAAAAGCCGGTAGCCAAGTGAATTTTGTCATCTGTGATTTAAAATAGTTGCATCTTATACAAAAAAATTCAGGAACAGATCTGCTTTTTCTTCTCAGCTTATTATAATGGATTCTACCCATATACTAAAAACATTTTCTGTAACTAAATAAGTAGAAGTTGATTTTTGTTTTATTAAGGATGAAAGACAATGCTTGCTGATTAATGGTTATTTACACTGCTTTCTTTACTACTTCTCAAACTAGTCATTTGTACAGTCAACTGGCTCATAGCAATTACACCGTGTGGCAGACAAGAACTAAAGCAAGCAATAATGAGAACAATCCAAAGTTAATTCTACAATCCTACATTGTCAAACTGCCTTTTTAATTGTTTAAGTTTAGGAAGATGTGTTAAGAGTTTAAAGTTGCCAAGACTGGAGACCCCCTAATGGTGTTTAATTCTAAAACTGCACTTCTATAATTTT